CATGTGTTGAACTAATTACTTTTTATTTATTTTGTATTTTCAATTTTATAATTGAAAACAATAGTTAGGGAATTTGGTAAATAAAATTAAATCAAAATTTGATATTGGACTCGACCACTAACCAAATTTAATTGCTTTTTTTCGATTTTAAATTTTAAATTCCAACCGGAACGTAACTGTAAACCGGAACGAAATTAATTTCGGTTCGACTCTCTCATTGAAGCTTTTTCGAGTTTATTCATTTCGGTATTATTATGATATTGGCTGCTGTGCTCTGTAAGGTGTCAGTGAGAAATGAAGATTGGTTTTTGTAATCGATCTGAAGGAGAGATGCTGTGCTTCTTCTCCTTCCCCTCAACTCACGGCACGACTGAAAAATTGCGGCCACTCTAAAATTGCATTTATTATTAAAATTGTTCGGATCGCTCGGCCCAGAGTGTCGGTAATATATTCAAATTGGATGCCCGTCCCATCATATATAGATATTTATCAATGACTACGGCTATATTTAAAAATAATAAATCACGGAATAAAAATAAAAATTGAAAAAAGCGCGAGAAGAAAGGCGAGAGCATATCGACGTGAATTGGCCGGAGGAGGCCTTGAGCGTCAGAATGATTTATTGTTTGGATTCGAACCCTTCCGCAAAGGTAAAGGGTGTTTATTAATAATGGATGTAATAATCTTTGGGCATACTGCGGCGCAATAGTAGGAAGAAGAGACAGGTGGTCAGTAGATCAAAAGGGATTTGTAAATTCAATCCTCTCTACCTTCTCTATGCCGTGCGTTCTCTCACACCGTCGCCCGGAATTTCTTGCGCGCCACCCCACCTCTGCTCATGGCCAACGGGAAATCTAATTTTCTGCAGGAAATGTGTTTTGTATACTGCAGTGATTCCTCCTGCTAAATTTATTTCGATGATACCGTACGTACGTACACCGGGACGGACCTGAAAAGGGATTTCATTTCGCGTACGTCAACAACAAAACTTCCACACTTTGTCGACTCTAATTTCATCTACCTACTATCGCGCAACTACTTTCAAACGGAAAATTGTGTTTCTTTGCATACGTTTCCTCGATTGAAATCTTCACATTCAATTCATTTCGAGAAATACAACTGTACCTCGTATAGGACGCGTAATCGATTCCATCTCTTTGAAACCGGATTTTTAGTTTTGTTAACCAAATTTTCTGGCGTGTCTCAAAACGTAATCAAATCAACGCCAATTTAGCAAAAACAATGGAAATAACATCAGCATTTTCTTAACATAATGCAACAAATATAAATTATATAAAATAAATAATGAACTTAAAATGTAAACTTAATTAATATTGAAATGCGAATTCCATTCCAGTTTTTCTCTTCAAGAATGAAAAACTCGCTCAAAGAGACAACAAAGTTGCGCGCATCTTTACCCACCTCACTTAAAGATAGACATGCATAAACTGAAAGTACACCGGAGGCGGCACAATCCCATTGTTCGTTCCATAAATATTCATTATTTCATTGTGGAATATTATTCTCAATGCACGGACTCCACCACCACCAACGACGCACACACTTCATCAGAATTCCATTTTATTCTATATGCTGACTGAATCTAACCCCTCGTTGCTGTTGTCATCATCATTCCTATTATCATCATCGAGAATTTCTTTACACACAAACAGAAAACGTGAATAAACAGCACCACGATTTTAATTAATTCACTTCAAAGCCACAAGAGATTTTTTTTTTCAATACAATCTGTTTGAGACTACTGATTAAGTTAATTGATTATAGTTAAATCCAAATAGAAAAACGAAAAAAAAAATTTCTAAAATGTTCACATCTTTGATAAATAATTATTGTTTAAAACTGGCAAGTGGGGCTTCTATCACCATGAAATATGATTAGCTAAAATACCGGTAAATTTTTACAATAAATATCGGTATTTTGTAGCTTCAATGTCATTGATGTCATTTGATAACTATAAAAAGTAGTCTGTGTAAAAACGTTGAATACTTTAACAATTTTTGATACAGATTTGACGGGCCCTTTCACAATATGTCAAAAGCACACGCTTATAACTCATATTACGGTAGTGAAATCCGATCATACATTTGCGTCATGTATATTGCATATAGAAATTCCACGTGGATAATTTTTAAACATTAAAATTGGAAATATCTACAAATAGATTATATTTCCATTGCTTTACGAAATATAAAAAGTAATTAAATAATCAGAATTTCTTAATGTAAATACAGAAACTCTTGTAAATTAACATTCTTATTACTCGGTGTACTTTGAGTCTTCGCTTCCATTCATTATTAATGACTTACTGTTGAAATACTATAGATTTATAAGTATATACTTCTTTTTTTTTTCATGTTCTTTGTTAGCTATCACTAATGATTGAAGTGATGGCGTGTCGAGTTTGATGTAGATAGAAACAATCGAATGCGGCCAAACACAAAACAAACAGAGGGTAAAAGCGACGGGAAAAAAATTGGTAACAAAGACTTACTCAAGATCAATCAATTTATCAAAATGAAACGTACATTAAGGACTCACTCTTTCCCCCCTTCTATATCCTCTAACGCACATACACACACTTTTTTTCTTTACAATTCAAAAGGAAACCCTCCCTTCGGCAACAAATTTCTTCTTCAGTCCCATTCCCATTAATTCGCGGCCAAAAATCTTCTTTTTTCTATTTTTTTTTGTTGCTTCTCGTGTTTTTATATTAAGTCCAGCAAACATGGAGTAAACCGATGCTCGGTTTAGTGTCCGGATCACCGGATAACGAAACCCTTAAGGCCTTTGATATTAGCATGGGAATTAGCGCCTTGGCCCCCCTTTTTTTTGCGTACAAAACATCCCCTGGTTTAGCTTTAATGATGACTATTCAAAGTTTAATGGATGCTTTGCCCGACCTTCTCATTTGCTGAGATTACGTTTAAACTGCTAATTACCATCCACTCAAGAACTATCGTATTTTAACTAATTAGAATAACTTTGTTTTAAAGCAAGAAACAACTTAATACTATTTTCTTGTATTGAGCAAAAAAAAAATATTAGTTGGAAAAACACAATGTAAACTAATTTTACTTACGATGTAAATCACACTCTTAGTGGACGGGATAAAACAGGACAAAAATCAAGTAATAAATTCTGTTAAGAAACGAACTTACAACAATTATTGAAAATGATAAGAATAAATGATAATAATCGTGTGGCATCAATAATATTTTACAATCTGATTAATTTTATTTACTACAGACGATTTATAATAAAAATCTACATTTTTAACTTTAATTCCATAAATTATATCATTACAAAAATCCATAGAATATCAATATTTTGGCCGTTCAAAACGCCAATAAATTTGTATCCAATTAACTAGCTAAGCTTATGGCTGTAGACGCCAGAGGGCGCGCTTATTAAACGCGACTACTATTATCATATAATATAAATAAATGAGTGCACAATTTTCGAAGCCGCCTCGTTTCGGGTTAGTTAAATTTATGTTGTCGTTATTCATGGTTTAGGTCAATAAATGACCACCGTCGGGGGCGTCCCAGGTGCGTCCGGGGCTTATGAATTCCAAATTCCCATCCCCCCGACCACCCTTCGAAACGAGGCGACGGTGGTGGCTGCTGCCGCCGTTGCCGCCCCCTTATGAAGGTTCGTTACTGCGCGGCGTTGGTCAGGACCGTAATTACCATAGAATATGGAATTAATGTCGAATCATCATTCGCATGCAAATAAAATTCGACTGACAGGCCCCGACGCTCAATTGTTCATTAACGCCCAATTGCGTGCGTATTTTTGAGGGGGGGAGGGGAAACAAACTGGACAATTTATATTAATATTTCGCTCCAATCAATTACCAACGAAAATCAGGATTGGAAACACTGCAAACCAAATACACTCGGGCGATTTTCAATTTAAATCTATTTATCGATGCAACAAATTAATTTAAATATTACATTTTCAATACATTATTTATCAAGCGCTAAAGATTACTTGATTATTATAATCCCAACTCCCGGGACATTTCTATATCAACTATTTCCTTAATCGCTAAATATAGTCATTCTGTAGTCTATTACCAAAATTTAAGACGAAAGTAAAATTTCTTAGTTCCCGGGAAATCCCGAAATTTCGGGGACAGCATCCACTAGTGAAGACGAATTTCTGCTCTCTTCATATCATTTATAGTTTTGTTTATACTTTTATATTTAACCTAGAGTTTATTAATTAAGTGTTTCGAAACGCTTTTTTATATATATTATTTTTAATAAAAATGAAAGCATTACTTTAATATTAATAATAATAAAAACGTAATTTAACGAACGGAAATAACATTTTATATAACTACTAGTTTTATTAAAATCGTCCATCTCTCGTCCGCTTTTATAATCATCAACTGTTTAATGAAAAGAAAAACTACTTTATAAGTAGCGTATTTTCTCTTTTTTTTATATGAAAGTTCTTGTAGAAAACATTTTCCACGATATTTTATATTCATGGAACTTTCCCACAAAGGAAATTAATTAAGTCTTGTTTGAAGTTGAAATTAAACAGTGATGCACCTCCGTATAAAAGAAGTTACTGTAATGCGTCTAGAAGAACAGCAAATATAAAAAAAAGATGAAAATAAATTATCTGCATTTCTATTTTGGAAACCAACCAACTTACGCATTTCAAACCCAATTGTATTCCTAGCATTTTGATTTGAAAAGTATTTGATTGTTGGAGTGGAATTACGAAATTTTCCAAAAGTTCCTCAAAACAAATGTAAAGTCATAGTAGAAGTTAGCACTAAATATATATATATGCATACAGTTCTTATATTAGAACAACACATACACTGCGGATGCAACTTTATATAAAAAATCATGTTAATGACTAAATAGTCCATAAGTAATTAACTTCTTTAATTTTTATGGAATACTGAATACATCAGTTGCAGGAGTAAAGACCGCTATATTGAAATACTGATTGCTTACCAATGACAGTCAAGTTGACTTTGCTGTTGCGGGTCTGGGCGACTTTGAAGTCAACCCGACATCTGTAGACAGCCTGGTCGGACTCCCTTATGTGGTCGACCCCGAGTTCCGCCGGTTGCTTCTCCGGCATGAAGTAGGCCCTGTTGGCAAACACATTCTCGTCCGACCATCGCTCGGCCAGACCGAAATCCCTGTCTCTTCCATCCACACTGCAAACACAAAAACTTCCACTCATGAGCACACATATTTCGACGTATTAACTTAAACTAAACACAGCAAGTAATACAGCCTCTCCACCCAATGTTAAACAGAACACTGTACTGTTTCTCTCTCTCTCTCTGACACATACACACACATTTCAGTTGCACATTACCAGCGACTTCATTATTTTCAATTAAGACTTCCCAAAGTCTCTTGTCTTTCGCAAATATTGCCTTCCCCGCTTTCGTGCAGACCCGTTGCCTGGAACCGTTACACAGTCTCTCTAATTAAGTTAAAAGGATACACGCGTATTTGCATCCCGAGTTTCTGGTAATTGCATCCAACATATGTCTTATATCTGTGAAGCTGTAAGTGGAAATGAAGAGACGAGCTTAAGATTTAACTTAATCTCACGAATTGACACTGACATATACAGACAAATTATCAATTTATAATCATGCACAATTTTTTTTTATAGAATAATTCAGATGACCGAAAATATGTAGGTATTCATTCGTAACACATTTTACATTTCTAGTGCACTCTGAATATCAAAAACTCTCATGAAGTGCACATTGACCACTCTAAAAGTGTACTTGAAAATTTAATTTGATACCATGTATCCTCCAAATTTATGCATACATCACTCGATGTAATTGAGCTTATTATAATAATGATTGTAATTCAAGAATTACAACTGATTTAGTTTTGGAAACATGAATTAACCAATAGGGAGGAGATTAATTTAGGCAAAAAGTTAACCTAAGATAGTTCAGTTATTACGTAAGTTAGGACAATACTCTATTCACATGCTCTATTTAGCTTTGTATTCATTATAGTTAATTAGTGTAAGATTGTCTACAAACCTGTATATTGGAGTGCCGAGATCCTCGCGATACCAAAGGACCAGCAGAACTTGATCATGCGGATCTGGCGTGGAAATGTCGCACGGAAGATAGACCGGATCTCCTGCCACCACCTGCATGTTTATTAACGGAACTGAAACAAAGAGTAACAACACGTGCATACGTTAGTACATCGTATTTAGTTTGTAATACAAGACAAAATATTCAATATTAAGGTACTACAATACTACATTGTAATAGTTCTAATGCCAATATTTCTTCAATTATTAAATTAGTTTTGTAAATCCGCTGATAATTACAAACATTGATTGCGCAAGTTTCTTTGTCACCAAACAAGAAAAAGTATCCCAATCACCATCACAGACAGCGTCATTAAATAAATGGAAACTTTGAGATGACTTCCTTTTCATATATTATTAGAATTTTATTACGACCATCCGTTTGTGCTTTTTTTATTACATGTACTTTCTGAAGCTAACGAACTCACCTTTCTCATATTGGCTTCCGGCTACGTTACTTTTCTGGAATTACCTTCTTGCATGCTTTTAATATTATTATTATTTTACTTTCACATCCCCAAAAACTTCGTCTACTTACAAACAATTCTTTCTCCGCTCCGCGTTTCCCATTCATGAAACTTCTTCTCAAGTATTATATACACTACTTAGTATATATGTCGCTGCTACTTTTTCTACGACCCTAATTGGATCGTCTCCTGAATATATTTCAATTGAATTTTCTACTATAAAAAACTATCATATTTTTACTTATTAATATGAAAATAATTTGAAATATCTTCAATATCTGCTTTCTCGGCATAAATTAGCTTGTGATATAATCAGTGTAATTTGAAGCCTACATCTCTTCTAATCACATAGGTATTTCGTGCGACCTGAATACACTCATACAACGTGTACATATCTTTGATGTAAGCAAGCGCGTCTCGGTGTAATTAATATTTAATTTTAATTAATCTCCATACGCTGCAAGGGACACATTACTTGGGCGGCTGCCTTCTACTCTACGATTTCGTGATATGCTGAACTCCGGATGACACAAAGTTTATTCGACAGATATTATATTTATTATTAAGTACATTGCCGGATCACGGGGAAATAGAATGAATGAGGGAGGGCAACTACAGTATTGGGAGGCTTAATTAAATGGAACTGAAACATTTAAATCCCCCTTTTGGAAATGCGCCTCTTCACTACGTTAAGTCCTCTATATACACTCGTATATTTAATTATCAAAATTTGATGTTCCTATGATGCTATGCACATTATAAAGTCGTGCGCCATTCAGAGTTTCACTAATTAGTATACGGGAAATCGACAGATAATATAATAGGACGTACTATTTGATGATGCATCTCATTATATCACTGAAATTGCGAAAAGCAATATCGTTAATATATTGTCAATTAAAAAAATTAAAGAGTGAAAATTTCAATAAGTTTGCAATTTTTCTAATGGGCTACAATTATTTATAATAAACTTTGTTGTTGTCATTAACAAAAACATAACTTAATACTAACAATACTATTTTTCCTTTTGAATACCGTGCTTTTTTTAACCACAGGATATCTTTTTGCTATGAACAAATTAACTTAGAATTATATTCAATATTCAAAATTTACTAAAAATAATTTGAGACACTGAAAAATCCAAACTTCGATATTTATTGTAAATAATTTGAGAAACTGAAAAATATAAATATCGAAATTTACTGCAAATAATTTGAGAAACTGAAAAATCTAAATATCAAAATTTACTGTAAATAATTTGAGAAACTGAAATATCGAATAATCCAGATTTTGAAATTTTCTGTAAATAAGTTGGGAAACTGAAATACTGAAAAATTGAAGATTTGAAATTTACAGTAAATAATTTGAAAATCTGAAATACTGAAAATCCAAACTTCAAAATTTACTGTAAATAATTTGAGAAACTGAAATATCGAAAAGATTTTGAAAATTTTCTGTAAATAATTTGGGAAACTGAAATACTGATAAATTGAAGATTTGAAATTTACAATAAATAATTTGAAAATCTGAAATACTGAAATTCAAGCTTCAAAATTTACTGTAAATAATTTGAGAAATTGAAAT